CCGCCAAGGCCACCACTAACCCACGTCCCCAGGTGCCACATCCACAGGGCTTTTAAATCTCTCCAGGGTTGGGGACTCCACCCCTGCCCTGGGCAGCTGTGCCAGGGCTGGACAGTCTTTTCTGTGAAGGAATTCTCCCTCATATCCAACCTAAACCTCCCCTGGCACAGTTTGAGATTGTTTCCTTTTGTCCTGTCCCTTCTTCCCTGGGAACAGAGCCTGACCCCCCCAGCTCTCCCCTCCTGTCAGGGAGTTGCAGAGCCAGAAGGCCCCTCCTGAGCCTCCTTTTCTCCAGGCTAAGCCCCCCCAGCTCCCTCAGCCACTCCTGGTGCTCCAGAACCTTCCCCAGCTCCATTCTCTTTCCTGGACATGCTCCAGCCCCTCAAAGTCTTTCTTGTCATGAGGAGCCCGAAACTGCCCCCAGGATTTGAGGTGCTCCACTCAAAGGGAGACACCAACAGCCACCACCTCCTCACTCAGGGCACAGTCTCAGCTCTCCATCCCCCCAGACCCACAGGTGACACTCACTGGTCGTTGCAGATGCAGATGATGGGCCTGAGCAACAACCCACCCTCACGCTGCCGCCTCCGGCCCGCGCCGGCCTCCCCCTCTCCCTGCACGTCCTTACGGTGGATGATGTTCAGCAGCACGTTGATAGATGCCTTGGGAAAAAAAAACAAGGGCAGAAGGGATGAAATCTTACCACTGAGAGGCAAGAAACAGCTCGTGGAACAGGGGGTGAGCTGCTAATGGGGGAACAATGAAGGGGTTAATGCCAAAGGTGGTTGGGGCTCACCGCGGGCGCGCCGTCGATCTCGTCGATGATGAGGCAGTTGGGCTTCTCACCAGCCCCCAGCACAGACTTCATCTGGGTGGCAGCTTCGATGCGGGTCTTGAACACCTCGGGGCTGCGGTCATCGCTGCAGGGAAGGTGTGCCAGGTTACTGTGGCATGGGGCTGGCTCTGGCATGGGATCACCTCCAGCACGGGATCGTCTCCAGCACCACCCACAGGACAGCATCACCCCTGGGACACCATCACTTTTGGGACAGCATCACCTCCAGCATCACTGCTGGGACACCATCACTTTTGGGACAGCATCACCCCCAGGACAGCATCACCTCCAGCATCACCCCTGGGACACCATTGCTTTTGGGACAGCATCACCTCCAGCGTCACCCCCAGGACACTGTCACCCCTGGGACACTGTCACCCCCAGGACAGTGTCACCCCCAGTGTCCCCTCTGGCCTGGCAGCACCTGCAGCAGTGCTGGGCTGGCAGGGCCTCACCTGGCATTCATCTCCACGGCGTTGTACCCCGCGTGCCGGGCGATGACGTGGGCCAGCGTGGTCTTTCCCAAGCCAGGAGGGCCACAGAGCAGGGCTACCTGTGGCACAGAGGGCAGGTCAGCATGGCAAGGGCTTCCTCCAGCTCCCACCAAGGAGGGAATGCCCTGCTCCTCACCCTGCTGGCAGGATGAGGGGACCCCCCAGTACTGCCCTGTCCTGCTCACCTTGTATTTGGGTCTCTTGTGCTGGTCCAGCTCAGCCTCCAGAATCTCCTCTGTGAGCTGGACCTTCGTTTTCCACTTATTTGGGTGCTCCTTGGGATGGCTGAACGGGGGATGAGCTGCAGTGCTGGGCTTGCCCTTCTTCACAGCCTTCTCCTTCCCAAACACCACCGTGTCCCAGAGCTTGAGCCACTTCAGAAGGCAGCGGTTTGTGTACTGCAGGTGGGGGGGAAGTGGGAAAAATCCATGGAACCTCAGAAGGATCAGGCCAAGGACAGAGGAAGGCTCTCCTCCATGGGACAGGCTGCTCAGGGTTCCACCTGGCACCTCCTGGTACAGCACGGGAATGGTGCTTCCCTTCCCAGCTCAACCACCACCCCACAGGGGAACCCAGGACAAGTCACATCAGCCCCATCCCTGCTGTCCCTCCTCTGTCCTGGCTCAACTCAGCACCTCTCAGCCTCTTCCATCATTTGCAACTCCCTATAAAACTTCTGATATTCAAAAAAACCCCCAAATTAGCCCACAATTCCTGGCTGAAGTCCTCCCAGTCTTTTTTGTCTTGTTCTGATCAAGTTTCAAAATCCCTTTTGTTAGAAAGCCCACAGCCTCCAGCTGAAACACTGCCATCCCAAGCTCTCCAGGACTCAGGACTGCTCCCAGGAAGGACCAGCACTTCCAAAGGCAACACCCTGATCCCACAGCATAAAGGAAGAGTTACAGAGGTGCTAATAACCCCCAAGCCCAGGCCTCCCCTTCTCCCAGCACCTCACATCATCACTGAGCAGCTCCATGTAGCGCCGGGGGGTGAACTTGTCCACCCAGAGGCAATGGGAGGCAGATTCCTCCTCAGGATCCGTGTCCCCACCAGGTTCCAGGCTCTCCGTGCTGGGCTCACTCTCAAGGCAACTGTAAGAAAGAATTAACTTGCCCCAAACCACCCAGGGAGTCAGGGAAGGGCTGGGAGTTACACCCAGATTTCCCACGCTGAGCACAGGGGCAAAGAGGCTCCTCTGCTTGTAGGTCTCAAAAATCTGGACCTCGTGGAGTGTCTTGGGAGGCACATCAGGCAGCATGGCAGGGATAGGATGGGATTTCATCCCAACATCTCACCTGTTTATGATCTCTGTCAGCTGCTGTGATACCTTCTGAACATGCCTGAGACGCTGGAGCACAGAGAGAGGGAGAGCGGGGTCAGGGATACCCCAGTAACCCATGGCTGGGGGGAACAGGGATGGGAGCCAGTCCTGTGGTATCAGGAATGGCAGGGAAAGATAGGAAGGTTAGTGTGAGACATGGTACCTCTTGGTCCACCTGTTCCTTCAGGTAGGAGAAAGGCACCCCCAGCAGGTGGAGTGGCCTCCGTGCATTCCAGCCCAGGGAATCCGGGAGCTGCAGGGACACAGCACAAACAACCCCCTCCTGAACCAGCTGGAGAACACAGAGGAGCAAACCCAACCTCGAGAGCCCTCCTCACCTCCACCCCTGTCCTGCAGGGATCATCCCTCAGCACCAGGAAGACCCTGGTGCCCTGGGTGGAGGTCACATTGATATAATCCTCCAGGATGGGGGGTCTCTTGAGGACCCGCTTCTTTTCAGAGGGTGGTGTGATCTGCAGGGGGATCGTGCCGCTCATCTCCAGCTGGTTCGAGCTGAAAAACACCAAATTCCTTTAGCAGGGGTGAGGAAAAGGGCCCTTGAACCCCCTGAAGGTGGAGACCAAGGGGCCCTCCCCTCGTCCCTGCTAAAAATGGCTTTCAAGGTGGCCAACCTGGTATTCTGGGGAGCAAGAGGTGCCTCTGAGCCCCCATCCCAGGAGACATCAGGAGCCAACTCATCGTCTGCACCAAAATCGAGCTTCTTCACAGCCTCCAGGCGCTGCCGCTTCGGCTTCGGGGCTGGGAGAGACGCCGGGGAGGGGGAAGAGGAGCACCATGACTGAGGGAGGGCGGTACCGGGGGTGCTCCGCGCCCGGCACCGCTCGGG